GGTCGCCCGAGCCGAGGGAACCGAAGGTCGCACCTTCGCTCCTTCGCAATGCAGGCATCCCGCCCTCCAGGCAAAACGAAGACGCGCCCTCTTTCAGGAGCAAGGTGTTGAGCACATGAGACTTCTGCTGCGCACAACGGGATGGACTCTCCTCGGCAACGGGAAACAAAGTCCTCGCAGACAAGTGCGAATCTACTCGCACTTGATCAGACCTCAGGGTGGCCTCGTCTCGCATGTCGGAATCTCGACTCCCTACGGAGTGGAGGTCAGTTTCCATATACTGGGGACTCCCGGACGTTCTGCGCTTTCCGCCCGACCCCTTCCCGCCCGACCCCTTCCCGCCCGACCCCTTCCCGCCCGACCCCTTCCCACGCGACCCCTTCCCGCCCGACCCATTCCAGCCCGACCCCTAGTCCTTTCCGCCTGACCCCTTTCCGCCGGACGCCTTCTCTACCGACGATGTCTCGCCCGTCCCCTTTCCGGCAAACTGTGAGCCGTCTCCTCCGCCACCTCCGTCGTCTCCTTCGTCTCCTCCTTCACCCCCTCCCGGATGCTGACCGCCCGACGGAGGTTGCGGCATGCGCCAGTCAATGCCACGAGACGGTGTCGTTTCGAGTGTGTAGAAAGGCGCTCGAAACTCCTACATGTTGTTGGCGTACAACTCATTTAGCTTTTGTTCTGCATACGCAGCGACGTCCGGATCGTTCCTGTCGGGGTTCATAAGACTCAAATGCTCCACCACAGCATGTCTCGCCATTCTCTTAAATGCACCGGCTCCCAGTCTCTTCAATCCACTCCACTTGCCATCGGCCTCCTTCATTGCCATGACCCACATTCCATTCTTCAAAGCAGGTTGGAATATCCTTGGGTGTCAGACGACGTTGTGTCCCCAGACATCCTCCGACGTGAACCGGTGATGCTTGCCGAAGAAGTAGAGTCTGTCATTCTGCCAGGTGTCGTGGTCCTCAGGGACCCTGTCATAAGGTTCGTGATCATAGTCTCTCTCTTCGTCCCCGTCATCAAACGATTGGTCGTCGACTGGCTCGCCCCGAAACACACACTTCAAACCGGCAGGGGACGTGCTGTATCTCCGAGGGGCACCTTCCTCTTCATCACCAACCTGTCCAACCACCCGAGGAAGTGGCATGGACTCGAAATCGAAGGTTTCAGAGTCGCTCAGCTCCTCCATGTCTTCAGCGTCGAAAGGGTCCTCCTCGTCAAACTGTGACTTGTAGTTTTCGAGGGTGAGCGGTTCGGCTAGCGTGAAGTAAACGTGCTCCAGCCTTCTCAAGAAATGTGAGACAAACTCCCTGGGTGCATCGTGGTACCCATTGAGCACACCGAACACCAGGTTTCTCCGTCGACTGTATTCGAGGTCGGTCGGACCAGGCGGTCCGGGTTGGAAAAGGAAGTCCCAAACCTCCGTCCTTTTGTTCCCCGACAATTTCCAATACATGTCACATTTGGGAGCCCAGTTTCGTTCGCCGGTGGTCCGGACAAACTCGCAAGCATTGCGAGTGTCTGCAACGCGTGTCTTCACGAACTCATGAAGGTAATCGATCATCTTCGCCTCCTTCTCCAACGCGACGACATTCCGACCGGTGCGCAAGAGTTCCCACACGACAGACGCATGCGCCTTCCCAAGGAAAAAAACAGTTTGCCCAACTTTGCAAAAGTTTTTGAGTAGACCAAGTACACGGGACGGGTTCCGCTCCATCTCCCCGTAAGCAGGTCCTTGAGAACTTGTCACGCCGCCGTCCTCCCACATGCTACGAGTGAACCTTTCCTCTTCCGCCACGTCGAAACACGCCACAGCCTATTCTGATGGGTCCGACGACCAGAGAGCTTTCGAGCGGGCCGCCACCGTATGTTTGGCCGGACTTGGACCATGAGCACGGGAGACCTTTGTCGGGCTACTGGTCGGGTAGACTGCGAATGTGTTGTCTTCCAGCTTCTCGCCATTAAAAATCACGTACAAGCGGTCACACTCCTCAACCAGCATATTGCCTTCCCGGACAATGGCCTGCTTTTGTGCATTGCGCACCCACTTCCCTGTCCTGACGTGATGGACGCTAAGCCTGGTCATGCCTTTCAAGAAACTGAGCTCCCAACGAGAGGGGAAAAAGATCACAAGTGCCCAGTGCGTTGGCGAAAGTGTTTGGAGAACGCCCTGCAAGTTGGCGAAATCGTTTTCTCGCCAGTCTGTGAGGAGTGTGGGATCACACAAATCGAGGACGTAAAGGTTGCACACGTAATGTCGCACAACCTCACGGATCGCAGTGACATGACTGTGAGCTTGGGAAGGCGGGAAAGCGAAAGGAATAAGGCTGGTCACCCGGTTGAGGTCGGGCCATTTGATGTGCCTCACATCCCCGCTGACCCTGATCTTGTCTCAAACTTCTTCTTCCGTCCGTCGCAAGATGGAACAGACAGACTTTTCGAAAGATTTAGGGAACCTGTCGTCCTCGTACAATTTCTTCGCGTCGTCGAGGGACTCCTTCTCGTGAGGAAGCGTACGTTTGCAAGTGTTCACGTACTCCACCGCGCCCTGGAAATGCTTTCGCATCTCGACCCACACCTGTTTCGTGAGGCCGTGCGGCCCGAACTCCTCCAGAAGTCGCCCCTCGGTCCGGAAAAAATTGCTCCCGTAGCGCCAAACACCTTCGTCCTCCTCCGTTTCAAGGAACAAGATGTAGTGGAACATACGGAGCATCACACGGTCCACTTTCATCGTCGCGACCATGTCTTTAATTCCAGGTTTATGCTGATGCTTCAGATGCCCGCCCGCGGATTGCACGAACACTTCACGACCACGAAAAACTTGTCGTCCGCTTGCGTTTTCTTTTTGGTCGGAGGCGGCGGGACCCGGACCAGCCACCCCATCTTCGTTTCACCAGCCAACCCTTTCAAGCCAATTTCCGGAATTGCTTGCAGACCCGGAGATTTGTCTGGCATGTATTTGCCTGGCCTCGACAATGGCGTCTTGCCGTCGCCGCCCAACACCTTCCCCTCCCCCCATTTCACGTAGAACTTCATGGCTTTGCGGAAAACGTCATCACCGGCCGTCACGAGCGGCATCCACTGCCTCAATGCATTGCCAACGGCAGCGACATACTCCTTGTCGGCGAGCGACAAATCTTTTTCTGCCAACGACCAGTGAGCTTCGTTCGGACTCTTTCCCAAAAGCAGCTTTTGGAATTTGAAGAACGCTCGTTTTTCGGCCTCCTTGTCGGAAGGATTCCCTTTAATTGCCACCGGCCTTCCTTCATTCTCCCATGCCTCCCGCATGTCCAAGAATGCGGCCTTCTGCGATCGCTGCTTAGACATCTTGTGTCTCGTGTTCTCGTTGAGACTGACCTGCCTATACCCCGCGAAATCTCGGTCGGAGAACCACACAACTCTCGCCGGCCACGAGTGCATCTTCCACAAATCGAATATTGGCTCACTCTCCAACTCCTTCACAGCAGCCACGGTGTGTTGTCCATTAACAGGGTAATAGTAGTACTTGTCCTTGTCCTCTGGCTTGAAGACATCTTTGTGAACCCTGGCAGCTTTGTCCGGCCTACGCGTCACCGACTTGTAGATGGGTGCCAAAACCGGAGGGTTTTTCGTCCAGATCTTCCCCTTTTTCTCGCGAAATTGACTCAGCATCGCATCCTTGATGTCGTCCACAGTTTCGCGATTCAGACTGCGGTGGTTGTAATATCTTTCCCAAGGCGGGATGTCACAGACCTTCTTGGGGTCGATGAGCAGTTGGACGGGGAGCTCCTCCACGATTTCACCGCCATCGTTCCGCTCGTATTCGAGCCAGAACGCTGCCGCTTCATCGCACTCCTCACTTACAGGCCCTTTGCCACCGCTCGCTGCCTCGACAGTCTTCCGCCTTCGAGGTTTCTTCTCGCCATTGCCTTCTTCAGCTGCCACTTTCCGTTTCGATTTCCCCGAAGGTTCTCTCACGGCCGCAACGCCTGGATTAGCCGAATCTCCTCCACCCATGGCTTGTCCTTCACGGATGGTCAAACCGCCGGGCCTCCTCGCTTTCTTATTTGGCGTCTCACCCTCTTCCTTCGATGGCCTCTTTCCAGAGGCACGTTCTCCGACGTCGCCTCCATCCCCGCCCATCACCGCCTCCGATTTTCCTCTCATCCTCTTCATGCAGAGGGTTCTCTCCGCCACCTCCTCTCGCACCATCCGCTGTTGCTCGCACTTCTTCTCCGAAGGAGTCGGCTCCCCGCCAGAGCTTTCGAGGACAGCGCCCATCCCTTCAGCCTCATTCCCTCCGACATCTTGCCCCGATCTGTCAGATTTTCTTCTCGTCTCATCTCGAAGCGAATACGTGCCGCCGCCGCAGTGGACCTTGAGGAGTTTCGGAGTACCGACCCGTTGAGTGCCTGTACCCTGAGAAAGCAAGTCCGACTTGTTCCCAGGAGCATCCAGGCCGACCCGCGTGCGAACACTGCGCGCGAGCCCCTTGACCCGACCCCCAGCGTCGTGAATCGCACTCCCACGCCCCGCTGCCGTCCCTGGAGTTTCTTGAGCCAAGCCGGACGCCCCCTCATGGGGTGGCAGAAGCCTAAAAACATGATCTCGCGGAAGAACCGGACGTTCTTTCGGCACCATCATCGGACGTTCTTTCGGCACCATCATCGCGAGATCGAGATATTGATCTGGCAATGGAAGACGCTTGCTGCCGCCATCGTAAAGGCCTTTGAAGTGAGAGCACAACGTCATGTTCGAGTCGTACCCCGCGAAACTCTTGATGGTTACCAGCACACCCTTAACACCTCTGAGAGGCAGTCTGCACTAGTCGTACAAGCCGTTTGTTTGCAGCTTGAGCAAACCTCCAGGAGTCTTGGCGCACAAGACGATGGTACCGAGAGGAAAAACGTTGACTGCTCCCCCAGCGTCGGGAACGCAAGTGGGTCGCATGAAAACAGCAGGCCCAAAAAGGTCCCCCTGAACAACGAAGTCCAAAAACCATTGTGCTCCCATTGCTGAAGAGGTCGTCCCTCCCCGGGGGCAGATGGTCCAACGCTTGTGGATGTGTTCTTTGCGGACGCCATTGTACTCCCACTCGTTGACTAACACGCCCAAACTCAGACCAACTCGGATGACTAACACGCCCAACCCCAGACCACTACAGAAGCGAAGTGCGAACTAACTCGGACTTAACGAAATGGAGGACGAAAAGGACGTAAGAGATGGGTGTTCGAAATGCACACGAAGTCACAACAGTCGGGTGAAGGATAGGAAAGACAGCAGTCCTCTGGCAGAGTGAGTTCTTAAGGAAGACAACAGCTCCACGGAGAGAGTGCGAACTAGGTCGTTGTCGTAGAATCGAGGAAGAGGTGATTTATCTTCAGGAAAGTGTGAACTAACTCGAAGTTTTGGGAATGAAGTCGTCTACAACAAGTACCGCATGGGTATCGACAAGGGGGAACCGACGTGCAGTTCTGGGCTGAAGAAAACCGAAGAATGATATTGGTGTTTGAAATGCAAACGAACACAAAACAATTGGGTGGCTGGCAGAGTGAGCTCGGAGGGAAGACGACAGTTCTTCGAAAAGATTGCGATCCGACTCGCTGCCGTCGAAACGAGTAAGCTGTGGTTTATCGACAAGTGCGAAGGGTGTCGATAAGTGCGAACTAACTCGCAGTTCTGTAGACAAGACAACAATGGCAACCCCCAGTACTAGGGGAAAGTGCGAACTAACTCGGAATTGTGGAACTAAAGACCAGAAAGAAGCACGAAACGAGTAAGATGTGGTTTATCAACAAGTGCGAAGGGTGTCAACAAGTGCGAACTAACTCGCAGTTCTGCTGACAGGACAACAATTGCAACCCGAAGTACAAGTGGGAAGTACGAACTAACTCGGAATTGTGGAACTGAAGACCTGAAAGCCGCACGGGATGGGTTATCAACTCCTCCAGCAGTGTTGCTCAAAAAGTGCGAACTGACTCGCATTTGTGGAAATAAAGAACTGCCTTTAATGAAATATGTGTCTAACCTTGGGAGAGCTGCGAATTAACTCGCAGTTGTCACTCCTCAAACAATGTACGTCGCAAACTGAGAACTGACTCGCAAGATCTCTCTCTCTCTCTCTCTCTCTCTCTCTCTCTCTCTGTATATATATATTTGTCACAGCCCCTCGTTTGTTGTCCTCTTCTCTCTCTCTGCCTACGGTTTACCGGGCAGTTCTGTTTGTGACGATATATATATATATATTATATCAGGTCGGCGACCTCACAAGGGACAGGTGAGCGAAAATCGAGAATTGATTCGGTTTTCAGTGTAGCAATATATCTCTCTATATATATGTATCTATATACATAGATAGATAGATAGATATCACGTCGGCGACCTCACAAGGGACAGGTGGGCGAAAATCGGGAATGGATTCGGTGTTCAGTGTAGAAACTAGATATTGATTCGGGATTCGCCATGCGCAGTGATGACTGCAATCAAGCAGCTTTATACAAACGTTATCGTGGCTATGGCGAAAGGTAATAGAGTTGCGGAACACGGATCGGCTATGGCGTACGGAGGTGGAGGGTGGAGAAAAAACATCAGAACGCGTCCACTGGCGAAACAACAAAACCGGGAATTGATTCGGGGTTCAACAGAACGCGGCTGCAGCGTTATATCCTGCGGGTAGAGACATGGCATCTGGAAATCTGTTCGGACATCTGACACAGAATGAGACAACTGAAGTTATATAATTTTACCTTCGTCGTGCGGCTATGTGGAGGGATATCGAGCTAGGAAGAGCGAAGAGCGAAGAGCGAACCAAACACAATGTGGCAACTGCGGACGGAGCGAAGAGCGAAGAGTGAGCGGGCTATGGCGGAAGGTGGTGGGGGTTGAAGACCAAATATCAGAACGCGCGCGGAAGCGATAGCGCGACTTGATCTGTGGAGCGACAACAAAAGGGATAACTCGAGGGCTGCAACGCCTTTTATACTTTGCTGCAGCAGGCCTCGCGTCGGGATCAAGGTGGGGCTGAATCGATTCGCATATCGCACCCCTGGGCCCATAAAACGTCGTCAAGGTGGGGCCGAATCGATTCTCATATCGCACCCCTGGGCCCATAAAACGCGAGGGCCTATAAACGGTAAGGGCAACCGCGCAGATGAACGGAGCCACTGATATGCCAGTGGCGCCAAAATCTTCGTCAACTCCGGCGTGCAATGATGTGACAGTTCCCGAAAACAAGGGGCAGGCAATGTCATTTTTGCAGTTCTAATCCGGACCGTCGATCAGCATGATCCGACGCACGAGGTCAGGCGCAAGAATCTGTAAGGTGCAGCGATTCGTTGTACGCCGAGGCGGTTCGTTGCGCGCCGAGGCCAGTCGACGGTTTATTTCCCGCCGAGGCGCGACGATTCGTTGTGCGCCGAGGTCAAAAACACCGGAAATCTATAAGTTCCGGTGTCGCTGTCATTCGGACATCTTGCAAAGGTCAACGGCGTTGGATATCGATGCGCTTAGCCATGCACCATCGCCATCGATGCGCTTAGCTCATCGCCATCGCCATGCACCATCGCCATGGATGCACTTAGCTCATCGCCATCGCGACGCAGAGCTATATCCCCCATCGCAGCCGTCGCGCTCGCCTGACCATCGCAGCGCTGACAATCGTCATCGCTCTCATCGCAACGCTGGTTCCATAGCTGCGCCATCGTTATCGCTGCCATCGCAACGCTGGTTCCATCGCTGCATCATCGTTATCGTTGCCATCGCAACGCTGTTTCCATCGCTGAGCCATCTCTCAATCGGTGCGCCATCGCTATCGCTACCATCGCTATCGCTTTTCCGTCGTTGCGCCATCAATCTCCACCAGTGCGCCATCGCTATCGATGTTCCATCGCTGCGCCATCGCTCTCCACCGGTGCGCCATCGCTATCGCTGTTCCATTGCTGCCATGGGGGGGGGGGGGGGGGGGGTTTTTCACACCCTTCAGGATTTTCACCCCTTCAAGGGTTTCGGGATTTTCAGGTTATGCAGCTGGCAGGGGGGGTGTCTTTCACACCCTTCAGGATTTTCACCTCTTCAAGCCTTTCGAGATTTTCAGGTTATGCAGCTAGGGCATTTGAACCAATAAGGGTATTGAGGGGGTTGCTTTCAAGGTCTGTCTGGAATTTCACCCCTTCAAGGCTTTGATGGGTCTTTCACACCTTTAAGGATTTTCACCCCTTCAATGCTTTCAGGATTTCAGGTTATGCAGTTGGGGGTGTGGCTTGTTTCACACCCTTCAGGATTTTCACCCCTTCAAGGCCTTCAGGATTTTCAGGTTATGCAGCCGGGGGGGGGGTGTCTTTCACACACTTCAGGATTTTCACACCTTCAAGGTTCAAGGCTTTCGGGATTTTCAGGTTATCCAGCTGGGGCATTTGAACCGAGCAAAAAAGAACAAAAAAGAAAAAGGCAAAACAGTCTGAGCAAAGCCTTTCAACTCCCCCGTCTGCTGCCGATTTCCCCCAACCATCCTCCCTCTCTCTCTCTCTCTCTCTGTGTGTGTGTGTGTGTGTGTGTGTGTGTGTGTGTGCATGTGTCTGAAGACACCAAACAAAAATGAACAAAAAAGAAAAGGGCAAAACAGCCTGCGCGAGCCTTTAACCTCCCATTGCTGCTGACTTCCCCCAACTCTCACTCTCACTCTCTCTCTCTCTCTCTCACACACACAAAAAAAAAAAAAAAAAAAAA